TCCTGGTGTTGTGAAAATAAAATGAGACATTTGTAAGGCACTTTTTAAACCTTAAAGTCCTATATAAATGCTAGCTATTATTATTATAAGTATGTAAATGAAAGACCCACTTCCTCCATGAAGCTTTCTTAGCTCAGATGAGCTGTCTGTGTGCTGGAGGGCTTGGTTTGAAATCCCACCTCTGACACTATCCATATGACCTCGGACTCAACTTCTTTGGGCTTCAGTTTCCTCATCTGTAAATTGAGGGCATTACATCAGTTGGCTTCTGGGGTCCCCTCCAGTTCTGTGATCAGTCAATAGTACTTAGCTGAAATAACTCTCATTTAACCAAATCACAAACTCTCTGGGCCCTTGGCAACTTTCTGAGATTGCAGAGATGTTGCTGATCTACATAGGTAGAAGTTTTCTCAGTTGGGAGTTAACTATCCTAATTTCATTCTAAGTCTGGTCTCTATTCCTATTTAATAAAATGCCATATTTCCTTAAAACTTTAGGAATTAATATGAGAGGGAGGTTAGTACAATTGTTATGACTTCTATTTTGTAGATGAAGAAAGTGAGATTCAGAGGACTGTGAATATCTCAAGATCATACAGCTAATAAGTGTCAAAGCCAGAACTCAAAGGCGTGTTGTCTTTCAACTTTTTCTGTTTTTCCACATTGCCTCTCTGGGAGTGATTCTGTCTATGTGACTCAGTTGAAGTAATACATTTACTGAATAACTGTTGAATGAAGTCATTACTATTCAGTTTATATTTGGTACAAAAGCATAGAATTTGGAACTATAAGGCACAGTAAAGATAATTGGGTTCACTTTTCTATCATTTTACAGATGGAGAAACTGAGGTCCACTGAGGTTAAGTGACTTGCCTAAGGTCAATAAAAATGTAGTGAGAACTAGAATAAATCCCAAATTATGTGACTTCCAATCTACTATTCAGTGATGAAAACGAGGACAGGTAAGAGATGTTGACTATAAAAGCATGTCATGGCCATGAAAAAATAAATAGATGTCAGGAATGCTAAACATTAGATGTTGCTGAGGCAGGTGAAGAAAAAGTACCAAATAAAGGACTTTTTTTTTAAAAGCTATATTGGGAAAAAGAGGAATATCAAAGATTTGCTGATGGGGGTGGATGGTGCAATATGATAATGGTGAGAAGGTAAAGCTACTTGAGTCTTCAGCATCTGTATCTTTTGCCAAGGAGAATTACCTTTGGGCTAGAAAATAAAGAATATGACCACTAGGGAGTTTAGTATCCAAGATACATTGGAAGTTGGTAGTTGTCCTTGATGAGTTTAAATTAAAGAATGATCTTAAACCAAAGAGTCAAGTCTTGGGAATAAAAGAGTAAATCTAAGCCAATTTATTATCACCTTTTTTTAGTGTATTAAGGCTGTCTAATGAGGACTATTGATCCTTAATCATTATTTGTTCAGTAGATATCATTGCTGAAAGAAAACTAACAGCCAGAAACTTAAAAATACAAAACAAAACCTTATCAGTTCTTGAGATGACAGGATTTAGACCTGAAAGAGCTGATCTAGTCCAACTCCTTTATTCTACTGATGAGGGAACTTAAATCCAATGGATATAAACTTGCCCGAGGTCACATGGTAAGTGATTCAAGTTACTAAGGATGTAAACCTAATTCCAAATCTAGTGGCTATAATTTAGATCAACTGGTGACCTATTGGCTGCATGGTTTCATTTAGATTTACAGAAATTGAATCCAGCCCATCAAATATTATTAAGCCCCCTTCCCCCACTAACATGGGGGGCTTAATAGAATATGTGATAGCTACTGGAGATATAAAAATGAAATAAAAGATAAATCTTGCCCTAGTTGGATTTTGTGTGTGTGTGTGTATACGCCCATCCACATGAAGGCTTGTTGAGCCTGCTTCTGGAAATGAGTGTTGGTGGGGTCCTTTCCCTCTCTGATTCAGAGCATGGACAGATATCTTATCCTTTTGGCTTACTGCATGGCAATGGAAGACCTTAAATTGATTGCTAAGATAGAACTGAGTGTACCTCCAAAAGGCTTGCCAAACTCTTCCTGGCTGCTTTTTTAGTGAGGAGGAAGAAGAGCTTCCTGGTGAGGGGAGTTTCATGATCTCATGGTGGCCTGAGGGGGAAGATAAGGCAGCTGCAGAAATATCTGCTGCTGCCACCACTACCTTTCCCCACCTGAATCACCACTGGCCTTGAATACAAGGTAGTAACCTGGCCTGTTCCATTTCTGTGTCTGATACACATTTGCGTAAGATCAAGAAAGAATACGTTCAACAAAGGTGGTGCCATGTGTTCCCAGCCATAGAGGCTTAGGGGAGAGGAGGCGAAGGTAGCAGCAGGTGCTGCTGGAGCTCCCTTATCTCTCCACCTATGCTGCCACATGGCCATGAAACTCATATGACCTGGAGACTCATAGCAGGGTAGAGGAAGTGCTGTCATCTGTTCAAGCCTTTTGTATGGCTAATCAGTTCTGACTCAGCAGCCAGTTAAAGGTCTATTCATCACTAAGCAGTAAACAGTTAAGGTATTTGAACATGCTCTGACTTCTTCTGGATGCAGGCTCACTAAGCCTCTACATGGACATGCAGTGGGTAGATCATAATGAATGTAATCCTAGAGACTGGGCCCTCATTGGCCAGTCCCTCATCATACATAAATATTTTTTAAAAAATCAACATGTATTTATTAAGTACCTACTACGTGCCAAGCACTGGCCTCGTGCCAGAGGTACAGAGACAAATATTAAATAGTCCCTGACCTCAAGGAGTAGTACAAAAAAATGTTGTGGGAAAATGAGAGGAGGAAAAGACACTTTCCAGTTTAGTGGAGGGTGGCACTGGCAGAAGGGGTTCAGTAAAGAGGTACAGGTGATGAAGTGAGCAATGGCACCTTAACAGGAAAGGGGGAGGGGAGAATGGTAGATCACGACAAGTTCTGTTTGGCTGGAATGAAGAGTAGATGAAAAAGAGTAGTGTGAGAAAAGTCTGGAAAGGCAGGTTGAACCTCGACTGGACAGAGCCACAGCCAAGAGCATATGTTGTAACTGGTAGGCAAGATGAAGCCATTTGCAGGTGACCCAAACAGGAAAATTGTTTTGGCCAGATGATGGTAACTGTGTAGGCAAAAGATGATGACATGGAGGCAATGTGAGTGGAGAAGCAAAGAGAGAAGACAGAACAAGGAGAAGAAAGAGAGATGATCTTGAATTAGGATGTGGATGTGTAGGATTTGATACCGTACCAGAACATCTTGGTGGAAAGATTTGGCAGAAAAATGGAGATATGAGACTGGGCTCAGGAAAGAAGATTAAGGTAAAGTAGATGGCATTCCTACTCAACAAATTCTAATGGCTCTCTATTGCATCAAATAAAAAATCTTCGGCATTCAAAGCCCTTCATAACCTAGCCCCGTCATACCTTTCCAGTCTTTTTCCATTTTACTCCCCACCACGTACTCTTCAATCCAGCAACACTGTCCTTCCACGAGCAAGATTTTCCATCTCTTGGCTCTGGGCATTTTCTCTGGCTGTCTCCCATGCCTGGAATGCTCTCCTTCTGCATAGCCATATCCTGGCTTCCTTTAAGTCCCAGCTAAAATACCTTCTTCTGCAGGAAGTATTTTCCAACCCCTCTTATTTCTAACACCTTCCCTCTTCGAATGAACTCTTGTTATCTTGTATCTATGGGCCTTTGGTAGGTATTTGATTATTGTCTCCCTCATTAGACTGTGAACTCCTCAAGGGCGGGGGATGTCTTTTATCTTTTTTTTGTACCCACAATGCTTAGTACAGTGCCCAGCTAGCATATGATAGGTCTTTAATAAATGTTTATTGACTGACTGACCCTACTCTGACATCCTAGGGTGCCTCAGCTACTCCTCCCCTTGCTCTAAATTTGATAAAATATAAGTGAGTGAAGTTTTATCCTATGGGCCACAAAAACAAAGTCCCAGTTGCCCCCACCCCCTCCATAGAATATCTCAACCTATAGTGGCCACTTTTGATATTGATCGATCCTATTCATTATGGGGTCAGTGGTACAGGACGCCCTCATTCACGATTCCTCGGGTACAGTCCCCACCATGAGCATAAGGGGAACATCTAATTCAAACTAGTAAGCATGTATTAAGTACTTACCGTATGCAAAGCACTACGCTAGGTGCTGATAATATATACAGAGACAACAACTAAATCGTCTCTACTCTCCAGCCATTCATAGGGCATACACGATGGGAAGTAAATACAAGATAACTTTTTTTTTGTTGTGGTTGTTGGGGAGAGCACTGAGAACTGAGGAAAGCAGGAAAGGCTGCTTTAGGGGGCATCACCTAAGCCAAGTCTTTCTATGACCTCCACAGAATTGGAGCTGTCCAAAACTGGAATGGGCTGAGGTAGGAATCCTAGAAGCCTTCAAGCTGAGGCTGGAGTTACTCCCTGTTAGGGATATTGTAAGAGATATTTCTGTTCAAATATGCGTTGGATTCAATGACTGAATTCCCTTCCAACTCTGAGATTCCGTGGGTGCTGATACAGCACCTGGGCTGCTTATTTGGAGCCTGGTTACCTGTCATATCCGAGCCACGCGCATTGAGAAGGTACAGTGAAGCACTGGGCCTGGGCTGAGATTCTGTCTGTGACACTTACCACCTTGTGCAAGTCACTAAACCCCCCTGGGGCTTGGGTCCCTCATCTGTTAAAGGAGGGGAATGAATTAGGTGACTTCTAAGGTTCCTTTCAACTCTGTGACAGAAATACATACACACAGTTGTATTTTGCAGAAATGAGAACTGGTAGGTAAAAATCCAGGTTTTCTGCACGGAACATTCTCCCAAGGGTGTCCATATTTCAACCAGTCAATCAGTGAAAGCAAATGACACCCCATTGGAATGCCTGTGTGGTTGATTAAAGGGAATAAGTTACACCTAGTAGAATCTGGCATTATGACAACAGAGCAGAATAATGGCACAGAATTTGAGTGCTCTAGAAGGAATCATTGTGTGTGTGGGAAGAGTCAGAAGTTTTAGACTTCCCATCTGGGACAGTAACAGTGTCCTTAGACCAGCAGTGGCCCAGGGCAGAGTCTGGGGTTGAGAGGCATGAGGACCACAGGTGACTTCAGGGCTCTATGAGGGCATCATCATTCAGACCTCTGATGAGAGCTACAGAGGAGATCCTGGTGAGGACTCCATAAAGGTAAGGGAGGCCTTCTCCTAACCAAGGGCTTGAGTTACACCCTTTGGCCACATGTGCTCTCCACATTTGGGCTCCTTCTCCCCAGTGACCTTGTATGTGTGTGTGGGAGGTGGTGCTTTTGTTCTGGCTATTTTTACTATGCCATCTCAGAAAATACCCTTTGTAAAGGTAATTGAATCTGCCTGGCTGTACTCAAGGGGGAGCATACATGCTGGGGGGCTTGTGAGTGATATCGTAATAGAGTCTTCCACCCCTTGGGGTTGTCCCTGGGATGCTGAGGGAAGAAATCGTTAGCTGCCCTCTGGGGACCCAGCTAGCCAGCATGAGTGAAGGCAGGGAGGAGACTGAACCCAGTTGGGGTGCAATAACACAATTATGTTTTCTAAATGAGAAAAACAGGTCTGTTCACATATACCATACCTGCAAGCTGTAATTAGCCTTTCCTCTAATTAGATGTGCAATGAGCTCTGCTGTATGTTGGAAATGGATTTTTTCTGCAGGGGGAAAAAAGGAAGTGTGTATCAGAAGCCACAATCACCATTTAAACCAAACTTATTCCCAGGTAAATGGTGCAGTCATTGCTCAGCTCACTTACCATCGGCAGTTGCGTGGATGATCAAGAACTGCTGTTCTTCCAGGGATGACACCCGATGGGCTAATCTGGTCATCTGGAAGGAGGCACAGATCAAGGATGTGAGTTAGTCATTTTTTTTTTGTAAAGCAATCAGGGTTAAGTGACTTGCCCAGGGTCACACAGCTAGTAAGTGTCAAGTGTCTGAGGCTGGATTCGAACTCAGGTCCTCCTAACTCCAAGGCCAGAGCTGTACCTACTGTGCCATCAAGCTGCCCCTAGTTAGTCATTTTTAACATGAGGAAGAGAGTGTTTTTTGTTTTTCACTGCATATACAAGATGTCCCCAAAGTCTTTAAGCTATTAAAGCTCAAAACTGCACTAAGACTTTTAGAACTCCCTGTATGAAACCTGCAGCAGCTCTAGAAGATGGGCTCTAGTGGAAGCAATCCCATGATTCAGAGCTTCCCTTTGCTAACTCTTGCCTTTGCTCACCAGGCCAAAAAGAATAAAAAGTTCCTGCTCTCCCTTACTACGAAGTGCCACCATTTCAGCCAGTGAACACTAGCTGGTTCCATGTCTGGGAGGTGGGTTTAATTATTCAGGTACAAACTTGTGCCCCTGTGGTTGATAATTAGCAAACTCCCACCCTGTAAACAGGCTGCCCTGATCCAGGTATCTTAACCTGAAGATAGTTTAAGAAAATAGGTTACCAGCTATTTCAAAGCTGGAAGTGATTGATCATACAGTCCAATCCTATGATTGTGCAGACGTGGGGTCTTGGGAATGGAATGGTCAGGGGACTTGCCCAAGGTGACCCAGCTAAGTCAAGTGGTAGAGCTGCAATCTAAGTCCTGGGCCTCCTCATCCCTTATATTTGTTTTACTTTTACAATTGACAAAGTTCTTTAATACACAGGATTTCCATCAAGTCTCACGACAGCCTGAGAAGGAGAGGACGAAACTGAGGTTCATGGAAGTAGGGTCTTGTCCAAGGTCATATGGCTTGTAAGTGACAGCGCTGGGACTAGAACCCAGGTCTCTTGATTCCTGGTCGAGGGCATGTTCTCTTGTGCCACCCCTGCCTTTCACAGCAACTGATGCTTCACTAGGACACTAGCCAGAGAGGCAGGAAATAGCTTTTTTGTTGAATCCAAATGCACTATTAGGGAGATTCTTAGGTAATATGATTTCAGGGGACTGACTTAGGATAGATCCCTGTGTCAAAACACCAGGCTTATTGACCTAGTGATATTAGCAGTCCCTTTTAGTTTATTTTTCAAAAAAAAAAAAGATCAATCCTATGCTTTTACATCACCTTCATTTCCATTTCCAAGGAACCTCCAGTTCCCTTATTCAGAGAATCATCATTTATAACAAAAGTTAAAGAGAAAATAGTTCAGCAAAACCAACATGCCAACTGTGTCTACTAGCATATGCAATATTCCATACTCTCCCCCTTTTCCCTCACCTGGCAAAGAAGAAAGGGTGCATTTCTTTAATGCTTTTTTGGATTTCCTTTAGCAGGAGACAAACCTAGCTCTTATTCTGCAATGGAATGCAAAGCCTCATGGGAGAAGCAATAAGGTCACCAGGTACCTGAAAATGGGGGACCCTAGGGAATTGGGGGTGAGGGGATGGAGGGGCACAGAAAGATGATGCCTTCTGTATGCACTGAAGGGAAATATCCCAGACTGGGTAGTTGTTCTGAGGGTCACTCTGTCCAAACCTACCTCATATGCTCTGTTGTCAATCCCAAGGAGGCCCAAATATCTTTCAGAAAATGCAGAAGCTTGGAAAGAAACCGAGGAAAACATTAGTTAACTATCCCTTGGCCTGGAAAGCAGATACTCTACCCAGTTCCACTCACAAAACAGATCTTCACCTTGATCTAGTGGACTTTTTGCTTGAATAAAGCAACATCACTGTGGTGGTGTTTGTAAAATGTGCACTTTGGAATTTTTTTAAAATGGCAAAACCTTGGTTTCTTGGGCCCATATTAATGCGATTCCTGAATTACTCCCCAAAGACTTTTGCGATCCCTTCAGTTACAAGTTTTCTCCCTCCTTAAACTATCTCCTATCAAACCCATCTGTGTCCACACTACATCCTTCCATTAGAATGGGACTTTCCTGAGAGCTGGGACAATATTACTTTCATTTCCAAGGCTTAGCACAGAACTTTGCACATAGTATTTAATAAATGTATGTTAAATGGAATTATCCACAAGGGAAAAGAATCAAATAAAGATTAAATAAGTCATGACGCTCAAGACACATGCAACTCTATCTCTAGCCATCTCTAGCTGAATCCAAAATTTTTTTTTTACAATTGAAGATTCATGTTCAGAATGATTCCCTTAGGCACTGCCAGTTATTTAACCATCAAGGCAAGAGTCACTTCTCTCCACTAGGTCCTACTAAGATAGGAAAATGAATTCATATATTTTAAAAACATTTCTACAAGGTTCAAATAAAAAGGATGTTTTCAGGTAAACACTGGTGTCAGGAAAAAACCTCTGTGCATTCTTAGTAATCCTGATTTTACTGAAGATGTAAATTAAATCTGTAATGGAAGATATACTTCTGAATGGAAAAAATTGGCTATCATGAGTTTTCAGACCTGGCTTATTGACTAGATTAAGTGTCCATTCTGTGATGGGCACAAGGCCTATAAAGATAAAATTTAAACATAAAATAAATACAGGGTAATTTGGGGCGGGGTGAGAATAGGGAAGATCTTATTTAGAAGGTGACACCTGAGCTAAAGTTTGAAAGATACTAGGGATGATACCAAGTGGCAGAGGTAAGGAAGTGTACTTTAGGCACGGGGACAGATGGTGTTATTTCTGGGATAAGGACATATTATTTGACAAAAACTGCTGGGAAAATTAGACAGCAGTATGGAAGAAATTAGATATAGACCAATACCTCACACACAGTTAATTCCATGTCTTGGGATATGGTTCATAATGGCGTAAGGAAAGTTCAGGATTGGTTGCTGTTTTGCAAAGTATGGGGGAGAGAGAGAGAAAGTTAGCTTGTGCTTGTATTATTCAAAAACCTCACCTTCCACCCCCCCGAAACCAACTGCTTTTCAACTTTCTTCCTCCTTCTCCAGAAAACACCCAAATATATTCTACACCCTCAACCAAATGCAGGCCCTCCAGAGATCTAGGGCCATGATGGAGGAAAGGAATGGCATTGAGAGTGTGGGTACAAAGGCTTGCTCCCTTCCCTTCTCCAGCTGAGTTTGAGTACTTCTTTTCACCATAGAGTAATTGGCTCTGTTTTATGTCCAGCTCCTACAAAATGTAAATGGGATTTCTGGTTACGAAGGCCAGCAAACTGTTGCTCTGTGCTAGGCACTGTGCTACACTCTGGGAATACAGAAGCAAGAAATAGTCTCTGCCTTCAAGGAAGTCACATTCTAGGGGAGGAGACAGCATGAAAACAATTCGGAGGGGATTATGTTAGCAATGAGTGGGGGGGACTGGGAAAGACCTCCTGCAGAAGCTGGGATTGGAGATGAGTCTTGAAGGAAGCTAGGGAAACTAGGAGGAAGATAATAACCATCATCAACATCATCATCATCCTAGCGAACATTTATATAGCACCTAATATGTGCCAGGCAGTGTGCTAAGCCCTTTACAAGTATTATTTCATTTGATCCCAACAAAAACCCTGGGAGCTAGGTGCTATTATTTTCCCCATTTTTCAGATGAGGAAACTGAGGCAAACACAAGTCAAATGACTTGCCCAGCTACTACGTTTTCTGAGACTTGATTTGAACTTGGGCCCTCCCGACTTCTAAACCAGTGCTCTACCTACTATACCGCCTAACTGAGGGTGAGGAGGAAAGACTGGAAAGGTAGGAAGGGGCTGGGTATTTTTGGAGACACTTTTCCCACCAGGGTACATTATAACACAGTTTTTACCTGCCTTCTAGGATGATGGAGAGACAAGGTCTTTGAGCTGAAGGTGTGTGTGGGAAACAATGCTGCTGACAGACAGATATCATGCCCCCACCCCATTGAAGTTCCTCCTGGCGGTAAGAGCTATTTACCATAGTATTTGAAGTCCGTTATGGGGGAGAGAGCAGAGCCGCAGGTGAAAACTGGACCTTGACTTTGACCTTGATTTTCCACTTTTGTTGAAAGAATGTAAGTACTCAGGTACCCACCATAATCCTAGTGTAGAAAGAAAGATATAAGATGTAAATGACCACAGGTTAGTAATTGAAATGGTTTCAGGATATAATGGTAACTAAGACATGAACACACTATAATTATTATTATACTATGTTATATTATATTATATTATAGTAAAGGAATACTTTACCACTCAGCTACCCTGTGAAGCAGAGGAAACATTCACATTTTCTCACCAATTCTTTGGTCTTGAGTTCTGTGTTTTTACACAGGGCTAGCTTTACCTTCTACTCAATTCTATACATATTTATTAAATGTCTATATGTGCTAGGCACTGCACAAACAAAAAATAAAAAAAGGCCCTGCCCTCAACTACCTTACATTCTCCTGAGGGTGGGGGCATCATGTCAACAGATAACATACAAAATTTATACAAAATATAGAGCAGGTGGGGAGTGGGAAGGATAACTGGGAGAATCGCCAAAGGTCACTTGTAGAAAGTGGTACTAGAGCTGAACTTGGAATTGAACTGGGGTGTCTAAGAGGTGGAGGGAAGGAAGGAGATGGAAACTCATGTGTGGAGAACAGCGAGTAAGTCAGTTTGGTTGAAGCACAGAACATATGAGGGGGATTAATGTGAAATCAGTCTGGAGGATAGTAATTGCCCAGAGGAGTTTTATCTTTTATCTAAAAGTATCCAGTGATTTCTGGATCTCTTAAAGGAGGGGAATGACATTGTCAGACCTCTACCTTAGGTCTGTTATTGTGACAGCTGAAGAGAAGACTACAGAAATATATAAAAGCAAAACAGTCATATGCCTATGATTAGGTCCTCATTTTTATGGCAATTTGTTATAAACTTAGTATTAACAATCAATGCAACTCATTAAATTTGATTAACTATTACGGACATTCAGACAAATGAATCTCAACATACAATGTTAGAATGTTTTAGTCACTCCCTTTATATTTCCAGCAAAATTCTTTGTTCATTCCTATTCAAGTTTCCTCTTCTATGGTTATAATTAGGGTGTTCCTTGCCATTCTGCTTTTTCTCCCCTTTCCATAAATGTTTGGTGATAACAAAGCCTGAAATCCTCAGATTATTCATTCTTTTGGGTTAGGTTATTTCAGGTTCCCGTGAAGATGGAAACATCACCTGGGAAAGTCATCACATTTACGAATTATGATCCATTATCATCTTAGCTGGAAACTGGTTTGCCAAGATTCATTTCATTGCTCTAGAAGACCCCAAAGGAATGGGATGTAGGATAGATCAGGCCCCGGTGCCTAGGGAGGGAAGGTTTGGATTCAACACCTTCTCAAGAGGCCCCAGGAATTCTGCCTGGAAATGCAGTGGGAAGCATGAGGGCACTGGGCAACCAGAACGAGACTGGGGCCATGAGAACTGGAAGGGTGCCAACATTAAAAAGATGCCTACTTCACCATCTTGTTTAGGGCTGGCCCTGCTACTGTCGCTACATTATATTAATTTGGGATCCAGAGTTATTACTTGTTTCAGGTGCTCCCATTTGTAATTAAACATGAGGCAGAGTCTTGCCACAGAAGAAACCCTTCTAAGTCAGTCCTCTATTCTTCATCTTCAAAGTTAACCTTGCTGAACCAGGCTCTCTGCGCTGTGTTCTCAGCGGTGACAATGGTTTGCACTGGTCTATCCATTCTCTGGACTTTTTTTCCTCCTATTTAACAGCAAATCAGGATTTCTTATAGAAACCCAGATTTTTTTTTTATTTTTTCCAATTTTTCAACATTTTATTTGAAGTTTGAGTTCCAAATTTTATCCCTCCCTCCTCCCTGAGATGGTAATCAGATTATATAAATTAGGTAAAACATTTCCATATTAGTCATTTTGCACAGGAACACTAAAAAGAAAAAAAAGAAAGTGAAAAATAGCATGCTTAATCTATATTCAATCAATATCAGTTCTTTCTCTGGAGGTGAATAGTATGCTTTATCATTAGTCCTTTGGGATTGTCTTGGATCATTGTATTGCTGAGAATAGCTAAGTCATTCACAGTTCTTTATTGAACAATATTGCTATTACTGTGTACAACATTCTCCTGGTTCTGTTCACTTCACTATGCATCAGTTCATGTAAGTCTTCCCCGGTTTTTCTGAAATCATCCTGCCTGTAATTTCTTATAGCATAATAATATTCCATTACAATCATATACCACACTTTGTTCAGCCATTCCCCAGTTGATGGGGCATCCTTTTGATCTCCAGTTCTTGGACACCACATGAAAAGCTGCTATAAATATTTTTGTACAAATAAGTCTTTTTTTGGGATGTCTTTGGGATATAGAACTAGCAGTGGTATTGCTGGATGAAAGGGTTTGCACAATTTTATAGCCCTTTGGGCATAGTTCCAAATTGCTCTCCAGAATGGTTAGATCAATTCACAACTCTACCAACAGTACATTAGTGTCCCAGTTTTCCCACATCCCCTCCAACATTTTCCTTTTTTGTCATATTAGCCACTCTGAGGTGGTACCTCAGAGTTGTTTTAATTTGTATTTCTGTGATCAATAATGATTTAGAGCATTTTTCGTATGGCTATAGATAGCTTTGATTTTTTTCTGAAAACTGCCTGTTCATATCTTTTGACCATTTACTAACTGGGGAATGACTTGTACTTTTTTTTTTTTGCTAGGCAGTGGGGTTAAGTGACTTGCCCAGGGTCACACAGCTAGTAAGTGTTATGTGTCTGAGGCTGGATTTGAACTCAGGTCCTCCTGACTCCAGGGCTGGTGCTCTATCCACTGCATCACCTAGCTGCCCCATGACTTGTACTTTTGTAAATTTGACTCAGTTCTGTATATATTTGAGAAATGAGGCCTTTATCAGAGATACTTGTTGCAAAATTCCCCCCCCCCCAGTTTTCCGCTTTCCTTATAATTTTGGTTGCATTGTTTTTGCTTGTGCAAAACCTTTCTAATTTCATATAATCCATTCTTAAAATCATCCACAACCCTGTAGCTGATGGGGGGAGTCGTGGCAGGCAGAGGGGAGGCAGGTCAAGGCTCTAATCATCTGAGATAACCTACAGGGCAGAAGCTCTTCACATGTTATGCATGACAGAGGTCCATTCCTTGGTTCACTTAAGGAATTGGAATCTTCATTCCAATCCATTCCTTCCATCACCTGCCTACTTTGCACAGCAGGCAAGTCAACTGGCATAAATGAGTATAATCATTACATATTAAAAAGACTAAAATCTAGGAATACTCTGTCTGCCTGGAAAGCTCCCTGTGTGGGAACTCCCTCCAGCAAAGTAATACAACTGACAGATAAATAATGAATTAACCCATGGGCCAAATCCAACCTGCTTTTGTAGGCCTGCTGCTAAGAATGATTTTTGTATTTTAAAATAAATCTCAGGGGAGGGGTTGCAGAGAGTTAGATTTGGCCCTTGAGCAGTAGTTTGCTTACCCTTGATTAGTAGGGAAACCCTAGGAACTTGGTTGAGGATAGACTTGTCCAGGGTTACAGAGCTACTATGTGGGGTTTGAAGTCAGGTCTTCCTGACACCAAGCTCAGCCCTCCATCCATTATGGTGTGCTGCCTCTATTCATAAAATATATGGTACAAGGAAATCATATTTATTCTTCTTTCCCATTTGGCACCAGACCATAAACAACAGTAGATTTATGGGAACAAGGTAATGAAGCAGCTGGTGGACCCTTCTAACAGTAGCTGAGTTCCCCCTTTCTCCAGAGGATACAGAAGAAAAAACTAAGCAAACAACTTATCTCTTAAAAGCAAAATAATAATAATAAATCACAAGCCATCAAACTGTAGGCACTCTCAATAAATCAAAGTGAAGTTGAAATGATGAAACCATTTAATGCTCTTCCACAGAGGGGTGTGCCTCGCATGGAAAGCAAAACAAGAGAAAACCAGAGACTCACCTTCCCAAATACAGCGACACGTGTCTTGTCAATGTAAGGTTCCTTCAACATTGTCCTACAAGGTTAAAGGGGAGAAACAGGATTTAATGCTGAAGTGCAAACTATACTGTTTGTTTTTTCTGGCAAAATCCAAAGCAACTCCCACTAATGACCTAGAGAAATGGAAGCCATTCCTGAAAATGGCAGGCAGCTTGAACATTTCAAGGTCAGAAGGAAAGAGCATCTCATTAACCAATTAACCTCTCAACAAGGATTTATTAAACTCCTACTGTGTGCTTAAGTCAGACACACTGAGGTGAGTGCTAGGTATACAGAGATAAATTAAAAGCAAAAGATCCTCTGTCCTCAAGGGGGAAAAACAACAGGCCCACATTTTATCAGGAGAAACAGCATGTACAGATATAAGCTTAAATACCTGTGAAAGAAATACAAAGTTCTCTTTTTGGGAAAGGCATTAGTAGCTAGTAGGGATTAGGAAAGGCCTCCCATAGGAAGTAGTGACTAACTTGAGCTCTGAAGGAATTCGAAGTAGGGGAGATGGGGAGGGAATGTTTTCTCCAGGCACAGGGGATGACCTGTGCAAATACAGTCTGAGATGTGGGGAGATGGGATAGTGTATATCAGGGAGAGCAAGGAGGCCAGTTTGGTGGGAACCCAGAGTGAGTGAGAATAATGTGAAATCAGTCTGAAAAGAAAAATTGGAGCCAGATGGTTGTGAGCTTTAAATGCCAGCCAGAGTTGTTTACATTTCATCCTACAAGTAATATGGAGCCAAGACAGTTTACCTGTGCCTTAGGGATATCACTTCGGCAGTTGTGTGTGGTGAATGGCTAGAGAAGGAAGAGATTTGAGGGAAGGAGCACCATTAGGGTGTTATGGCAATAACCCAGGTGAAGGCGGGGATGGGTACCTGGACTACACTGGGGGGCGGTATGAGTGAAGAGAAGGGTGTAGATGGGAGATGCTGT